CGGCGTTGGGGGGGGGGGGGGGTCTGTTTTCCGGGCTCGCTCCTGACACGCTGTTTGTTAATCTTCCTCTTGACGAAGAGGCCCGGCCGCCTTTGAATGCGTTGGCCGTATGTACCGAATAAATCTTATTCCTTTGCTTCCGCGCCCACACCTGCATCGCTGCCATTCATCTGCAGCTTGGAGAACCTTTTGTGGTTATTGGAATGTTATTCAGCGGCCGCCATCGCAGGTGCGAAAATTCATTTCTGTGCTCGGCACCTCCATATCCTTTTCTGATTAACTTTTCCTGGGAAATTCTTAAAGTATATCTGAGACCAAAACTTATTTTGTCATTTTTTTTTCAGTCACCGCATGGGGGAGATATCCCTTAAAGCTGATGGCAAGGCTGTAGTATACTGCAAACCACACAACCGATCCTCCGGGATTAGGCATTGTTTGTTATATGACAGTATAACCAAAAAACTGCAGCTAAATACTTTATTCCATCCTTTTACAGTGCGGTCCCATGACCACTAAGCCTCTCAGTGGGCCTGCTGCTTTGTGGCCAGCGGGTAGGGGCTAAATACGCATTGGCATCACTGTAGGAAGTCCTCTCCTGCCATGATTATCTATAGTGAGGCCATGAAGAGGGAAGAAGCTGTGTTCCACCCTCCTTATACCACACTTCTTTCCTCCAACCCCTACATCACCGCTCCTGTAGTAATATCGGGGGGAGGGGTTGCAGGATGGAACCAATAGTGTGCATACTTACCAACATTATAGTCCTGGATCCCAGGAAACTGTTATGCCCTCCCACAGACTGCATTTAGCCTGCCTACTTTCTGGATGGGCATGCCAACTTTACAGGTTGGTCCCACCTCTATGCAGAGACTTCCCTCTAGCGTACTTCAAGGGTTGCTCATGCCCCCAGAGCCCACCTTTGAATATGTGGTGACCACTCACCCATGGCCCCATTCCCTGCAATCAGGGCCATCCCTACTATATATGCTGTCAGGCAGTAGAGCAGGGGGTATGTTTGGCAGGTGCTGCTTATAGTGCTGGGAGGGGGTGCTTTGTGGGGGATGTTGTGCGAGGGGTGGAAACGGCTGTGTAGAGCAGTGATATGAGTGACTCTCTGTCCAGTCCTGCCCAGCTCACTAACGTCACTGGTTGCCAGGAGCTTGTTGGGACGCCAGCCAGAGTGTCCTGCTCAGCTCCCTGGCAACAGATGAAGTTAGTGAGCTGCACAGAGAGTCACAGGTTCCTAAGTACCCTTGGCGAGCTGGGATGTTGTGGTCACCCCTCTGCCACCCCCCACACCTGATGCCCTCCTAATGAGATGCATGGTGGCCACCTCAAGTGGCATATTGTTAGGGGGGCAGCAGTTGTGGGGGGTGGCAGAGGGGTGACCACAGCACCCTGGGTTGGTAAGAGCTCTTAGGAACGACCCTGCCCGCAATAATTGCCTTTTTAACTTACCAGGCATGTGCAGTAACTTAAAGGAGAACTATGAGGTCAGGGCTTTTCCCCATAGGTCTCCTTAGGGTAATGGGAAGACACAAACTAGCATCCTCCCGTCACACTAAGCTCAGTATATAGGGAGCTACAGCTCGCGGTATACTGAGACGCCACAGCCGGAGCGGATCCCAACATCGATGTCGAGATCCGCCCAGCTGCGTGAGTGACAGCTGGCTCTGCCTATCTAGAAGCAGAGCCAGCTGTACCCGCCCCCTCCCCCGTCCGTTCCGCCAGTCAGCGCTGGAGGATTGGAGCGGGAGGGGAATCCAGCCCCTCCCCTGTCACGGCAGAGAGCCGTGACAGGATCGAGAGGTGAGAGAACGCCGGTATGTGTTCGCTCACCTCCCGATCTACTGAGCCGACCTGTGACGGTCTCATTGTCACAGGTCGGCTAGAACTATGAGGTGAGTGAAAAGCATCCCCCTCCCCTCATAGTTCTCCTTTAAATAAGGTTGTTGCTGTGATCCCCGGACATGGCCCAGGACAGAGCATTGGCAGGCCACAGGGCCAAGACAAGAGAGTGTCTTGGCTGGCATGTATGAGCGTGTGGTGGGGGACACATACATCTGACACTCCCGGGAATGTGTTGAATGCTAAAGAGACCGAAGGAGGCTGGCAGTCCTTCAGGTGCCACTCGTAACTAATCAGTATTGGATGGAACGGCCTTTTAAATTGAACATTGGGAGCTCTCCTTTCTTTATAAGGAGACGCAGCTTGCTTCCTGCCAGATCGGGGCCCTTCGGCACAAGCAGAGAATAAAGAACTTTTGCAGGACGTTGTGTCACCGAAATGCAATTTGCTTTGCATTAACTTGCATTATCGGATTTCAATAAAGCAATAATGGTTGACTGAATTTTGATTACCAAACTAATTATGTCTTAGCAATACTCCGGTGACAGTCAACACTTTCATTTGCAATAACAAACTGTAATTTCAGTCCTAAATGTCTCACTTACAAATGAAAACAAAACACAATAATTAGGCAGCAGAGATGGAACCATATTGTAATTTGTGGTTTTGTTTCTCAACACTTGCTAGGACTAGACAGCGCTGCTAAAGGGGGTATGTAGCTGTGAGTCCATTTTGGAGGGTCTTCGTTTGTCAAATGTTAAACTTTTTCTTTGTCTGGAGTTAGGTCTGTGATCAACCAGTTCTGACAGAAATTAGGAATGCACAGATTCCATTTTTTTCTGGACCCAGTACAAGCACAGATACCTTTCCTCAAGTACTGGCCGATACCAATTACCGACACCATTTTAATGTGATGTGACCAATACAGACTAATGATTGATTTTAGGTCAGTGATGGAAAGCCAGGGCCTGGTCCCAGCTGCAACCGCTGCGGCCCTCTTAGTTCTGTCACTGACTCCAAGCTGTCGAGAGACTACAAATCTCAGCAATAGATTATACAGCAATGCAGAATAATAATGTAAGGCTCCGTGTAGTTCCCAAGAAGGCCGCCACGAGGTCCCCAGCAAGCACAAGTACTTGTGCAAATGCTCAGTATCGGCACCAATACCAACACTGGTATTGGTATCAGTGCATCGTGAGTAGAAATGTATTGATGTAGTTCTGGCTTAGTTGGTATACATTAGCTCAATGTCACCCTGCATCTCCCCGTCACTTACGTGTTTCTCCAGCGTGTGAAGATTGTGCTCATCAGAATCACTCAGCGTGCTGCAATGCATCTGAAAGGTAAAACAAATAATTAAATTATTATTATTATTATTATTATACAGGATTTATATGGCGCCAACAGTTTGTGCAGCACCTTACAATATAAAGAAGACATTACAATCACAATACAATTCAAGACGAGATGGTAAGCAGGCCCTGCCCCTGAGGGCTTACAATCTAAAAGGGAGGGGCCAGTGATACATGAGGAGGTAGCTGTGCGGGGATGATTGTTTGAGACAATGAACACAACGTATAAAATATGCATCTGAACTCCTATAAAATTGTCATTATCAACATCCAGGGGAGTAACTACGAATCATGAGGCCCCATAGCAACATTTTGATGTGGCCCCATTCACTCTCTGTAGTAGCCTGCAGTATCTACTGTGACAACAACTTTCATTGATCTTAACATGAAGTATCTATCAAGGACAGGCAGCAGGAGAGCATAGTCAGTACACTACAAGGGACTGGTGCTGTGGCTAAGGGCCGGTTCACATCACAAAGTCTGCGTTCCAGAACGTTCGGCCTCTGGAACGCACTGGAATGCAAGCCAGCAAGCTCCCTGAGTCCAGGGGCGGGAGGGGGCATGGCGGTGCATTGAAGTTAATGTTGAAGTCACTGAAGTCACTTAGTGTTTGCAGTATTTTTGCAGAACGCACTGGACCGGAACGCAAGCACTAATATGCCTGCATTCCGGGTGCGGGCGATCACACTGCGGGCAGGGGGCGTGGCTGCGGTACCATTGACTTCAATGCGCCGCCACGTCCCCTCCAGCCCCTGAACGCAGGGAGCCGGACGGCTTGCATTCTAGTGCGTTCCAGAGGCCGAACGTTCTGGAACGCAGACTTTATGGTGTGAACCGGCCCTAAAAGTTATAGTTGCAGTAGCAATAATAATAATACCTATAAAGATATCAGGCCACAGAGCAGCCGTGTGCCAACTGTCCCAGATTTGTTTTGGTCCTCTGTCCAGATGATGCTGTTGCCTGGGTGATACCTAGTGACAGGATGGCCCAGAATGGTGGCGTGATCTGGGTGGGACCACCTGGAAGGTGGGAATGGGACTGCCCAGAAAGCGAGTGTGGCCTGGGCATGGGAATGTCAAGCATGGGTTTTGAGCGGGGTTAACAATGTCCCAGTACATCCCATTGTCATCTGCTCTGAGAGGGGCTGCTCCTGCTCAGTGTTAGGATCGCTGAAAACCCTTCATAATGTGGGCACAGCGGGTGTACAGACCCGGGAACTCAGCACAGGGATGGTGGGAGCTCCTCATAATGGGCACAGCGGGTGTACAGACCCGGGAACTCAGCACAGGGATGGTGGGAGTCCCTCATAATGGGTGCAGCGGGTGTACAGACCCGGGAACTCAGCACAGGGATGGTGGGAGCCCCTCATAATGGGCACAGCGGGTGTACAGACCCGGGAACTCAGCACAGGGATGGTGGGAGCCCCTCATAATGGGCACAGCGGGTGTACAGACCCGGGAACTCAGCACAGGGATGGTGGGAGCCCCTCATAATGGGCACAGCGGGTGTACAGACCCGGGAACTCAGCACAGGGATGGTGGGAGCCCCTCATAATGGGCACAGCGGGTGTACAGACCCGGGAACTCAGCACAGGGATGGTGGGAGCCCCTCATAATGGGCACAGCGGGTGTACAGACCCGGGAACTCAGCACAGGGATGGTGGGAGCCCCTCATAATGGGCACAGCGGGTGTACAGACCCGGGAACTCAGCACAGGGATGGTGGGAGCCCCTCATAATGGGCACAGCGGGTGTACAGACCCGGGAACTCAGCACAGGGATGGTGGGAGCCCCTCATAATGGGCACAGCGGGTGTACAGACCCGGGAACTCAGCACAGGGATGGTGGGAGCCCCTCATAATGGGCACAGCGGGTGTACAGACCCGGGAACTCAGCACAGGGATGGTGGGAGCCCCTCATAATGGGCACAGCGGGTGTACAGACCCGGGAACTCAGCACAGGGATGGTGGGAGCCCCTCATAATGGGCACAGCGGGTGTACAGACCCGGGAACTCAGCACAGGGATGGTGGGAGCTCCTCATAATGGGCACAGCAGGTGTACAGACCCGGGAACTCAGCACAGGGATGGTGGGGGCTCCTCATAATGGGCACAGCGGGTGTACAGACCCGGGAACTCAGCACAGGGATGGTGGGGGCTCCTCATAATGGGCACAGCGGGTGTACAGACCCGGGAACTCAGCACAGGGATGGTGGGAGCCCCTCATAATGGGCACAGCGGGTGTACAGACCCGGGAACTCAGCACAGGGATGGTGGGAGCTCCTCATAATGGGCACAGCAGGTGTGAATGCCCAGGAACTGAGCACAGGGATGGTGGGAGCTCCTCATAATGGGCACAGCAGGTGTACAGACCCTGGAACCAGGTGTATAGATCCCATCAAAAGAGTCTCCAGCAAAAACTTAAATATCAAGTGCTTTAAGATCAGATACCAGATGGAATGATACACTGGCACCAAAAAGGTGGTGTAGTTACTGAGT